CTAGTAGTAGTATTAATAGTAGTAGTGGTGCCGGTAGTAGCAGTAATGGTGGTGGTGGTAGTAATGTTAGTAGGGTAGTAGTATTAGTGTTAATTGTAGTACTAGTAATGGTGGTGGTAGTGGGAGTCATAGTTTAAATAGTAGTAGTAATGGTGGTGCTGGTGGTAGTAGTAGTAGTAGTAATAGTAGTGGTGGTAGTAATGTTAGTAGCGATGATAGTAGTAGTATCAGTGTTAACTGTAGTGCTGGTTGTAGTCGTATAAATACTAGTAGTAATGCTGGTGGGGGGTGGTAGTGGTGGTGGTAGTAGTAGTTGTAGTAGCACTAGTAGTAGTAGTAGTAGTAGTAGTAGTAGTAGTAGTAGTAGTAGTAGTGAAAACCAGCCTCTATATACTAGCCAGCACTTTGAGGTTCACAGGTGTCCTTTGACTTCTGTATTACAGGTCTCATTCCATAAGGCAGCTAGGTAGAACAGCACAGAGAGTGTGGAATCAGGAAACCCAGCATTCACACCTGGCCACAGACACTTGTGACTCTATGTGACTTGTGACACAATGGGACTCTAGGCAAGTCTCAGTTTCCTCACCTACAAAATGAGGATCATCATAACAGCCCGTTTCCCAGACTTGTTGTGAGATGGCGTAAGTAAAGCGATTTTGCCAGCTTTAACTTGCTAGCTATTATTATGACGATCCTGTGAATAAATTGGTCTGACCACTGTCAAACGGCTAACCCGATTTAGCTGGAGTGAAAGATTTCCATGGCGAAGTAGTAATAAGGCCAGATTGTGGAAGGCCTTGAAGGCCAAGCTAAAGAGTTTGGTCTTTGTCTGATGAGCGCTGGGAAACATTGAAGATCTTTTAGCAGAGCAGTAAAACAGTACTGTCTGACTCTTTCTACCTCGCCCTAAGCATGTGCTTGAAGATGCAGGAAGGGTGGAAAGTCGGGAAGACGAAAGGTGAAAGGGGGGATGGGGAAATATTTCATCATATCCCGTCTTCAAGCATCAGCTACTGCCCCAAACAAGACTCCTCCTTTCTTGGTCAAACTCCTTGAATTTCAGTAACTGAAGAGATCCAGGAAGAGCAGGAAAGGACACAGAGACAGAGGATTCCGCTGACATTTGCCATCCTGCATTGTTTACTTACTGATCATTAACTCCTTCAGGGAGGTTCCTTGTGGGTGTTTGTGCTGAAGGAACCAAGAGAAGGAATGCTAATTGCGAAATCGTGAGCTTTTCCACTGAGGCCTTTCACCTGCACTAGCTCAGACATCTGAGAGGACCAGACCGGATGGGAGGGAGGGCACAATTAAATGAAGTAAATTTCTATTAAGGAAGTGCCTACCACTTGGATCTGGAGCTACACTCAGAGTCAGGAAGGCCTGGCTGTGTGACCCTGGCTAAGTCATTTGGCTTTGGTGAGTCCCCAGGCAATTCTTAAAATTATAAGCTATGGGTGTTGACCTGAATTGGTAGAGGGAAGGTTTGGTTACTTTGAAAATAAGCAAATAAATGAAATCCCTTTCTGCTCTAAATTTTAGGATCCTATAAAATCTAGGTGTTAGTGCCCTGTCCTGGCTCTGGGTCCCTTTGGCTCATGCTATCCACAGGCTATCCATCTGGGGCCAAGAACAAGCTACTAGACAGGAGGAGAAGTATGCAGAAAGCTATCTGGGAGCATTGTGAAACGCTGATATGAATTATGAAAGGAAATCTTTATGAAGGAGTCAGCCCAGCGCCCCACACTTTTAGAGATGAAGAAACTGAGATGATTAGAGGCTTCAAAGTAGCATAGATTAGAATCTCCAGCAGACCTTTCCAATATGCAAATACTAAAATCAAGTCAAATCAGCAAATCTTTATTTATAATAAGAATAATAGCCAAGATTTACATAGCGCCTACTATGCGCCAGGCACTACACAGAGCACTTTACAAATATTATCTCATTTGATCCTCACAACAACCCTTCAAGGTGGATGCTGTTATGATCCCCATTTTACAGATGAGGAAACTGAGGCAGGCAAGGATTTAAGTCACTTGCCCAAGGTCACACAGCTAGTGTCTGAGGTCAGATTTGAACTCAGGTCTTCCTGACTCCAGCTCTCTATCCCCTAGCTGTAAAGTGCTGAGGAGGGGGTGGTGAGGAGTAAACAAAACTTAATAAAATCCAAACCCTGCCCTCAATAAATTTATAATCTGGGTGAGGAGACAAGTTTATAAGCAGATGCAGTTAAATGATAACAACAAAAGATTTAAATAATAAGTCTAAACTATGGTAGGAGATACTAAGCAGTATATCCATTATATAGAAAATCCATTCAATAGGAATTAAGAGAAAGAAAGGCTGACTTTAGGCTGGGATGGCCAGGCAAGGCTTTACAGAGTAGACAGGATTGCAGCTAGATTTGGAAGGATGGGGAGGAATTAGATGTTAATAAACTGCCCTATGGATCAACAAAGTCACATCCTGGTGACTTTAATCACCAGGGGAATCTAAGGCCGGGGTGGGGAATCTTCGGCCTCGAGGCCACATGTGGCCCTCTAGGTCCTCAAGTGCAGCCCTTTGACTGAATCCAAGTTCCCCGCCCCTGATCTAGGGAGATCATGGCCTCTTTCCCTGGCCACCATGACCCCTGTAGAGACTCTTCCTATTAGAATAAAAACTACTTGACATGAATTCCTATAGCATAGGACAATGCCTGGCACATAGAAAACACTTAATGCTCATTGATTCATTAGTTCAAACAGATGGGAAGGAGGGGAAGGACATTACAGGCCAGTGCGACAGAATGAGCAAAAGCGTGGAGGTGAGAAAAGTACAAGGTACGTTGAGGCACAATAGCGAAACCAGTTTAACCTGAGTAAAAGATTTGTGCGTTGACATACTGAGAAAGTTGGAAAGGTAAGTTGGAGTTAGATTGTGGAAGGCCTTGAATGCCTAACTAAGGACATTATCTTGTGGGCGCTTGGGAATCATTGAAGAGTTTATGGCAGAGATTAAGCAATGATGTACTGCAGCCCCGGGTGGGCTTTTCATTGTTAAATTTTCAGAGCGGAGCTTTTGCACCTTGGAAATCCCCAAAGGTACAAATCAGGGCTTGATCTATTTTGTTGACTGTCTAAACTTAAGTAAGTGATGGAGAAGATATTAATACGCCAAATTAACCTTAAAAGTGTGCTCTGAAGTCTTTTTTTTTCTTTTTCCAGAGAACCAGTTGTTAAACATTCACCAGCCCAGTGCAGTTACTGAGGATCTGTGTCACGTAGAAGTCATGGTTGGAGTTGGGGGTGCCGAGTGAACCCTCCACGTAATTAGATCTGGTTACATCCATCTCTGCTCAAAAATCCTCACTGCTTCCTTATTGCTTATCCAATGAAGTTCAGAATTTTTTCACCTGGTATTCAAGGCCCTCTAGAATCTTTCACCCTTTTGCCTTGCCAGATTTATCTCGTATTATTCCCCTCCATATACTCTAGGCTCCAGCCAAATTAGACTCCTCAGGGGCTGCTTTGTGGTGCAGCCCTGGAGTCAGGAAGACCTGAGTTCAAATATGACCTCAGACACTTATTAGCTGTGTGACCCTGGGCAAGTCAATTAACCCCAATTGCCTCAAAAAAAAAAAAAAAAAATGGACTCTTCTTTGTCTCCTGAACATACTTTGCTGCTTGTTAGGTTTTGGGTGGTTGTTTTTTGCTCACGTTGTCCCCTAGGCCTGGTTTTCCTCCCTGACCTGCTTCATCCACTGAGAAGGTACAGGCAAGATGATTCCCATTCTTATCAGTCTTTTAAAATCCAGCTGAAATGTCAGTCCCTCCCTGAAGCTTTTCAAACATGCCCCTGTTTAAAAAAAAATAAAAGAAATTTTTTTTTTATTTAAAAAACTTAAAAAAGAGAGAGAAATCTCAAACATGGCCCTGTTGCCACCAACTTTCCCCTTAGACTTCAGCACATTGCTTTGCGCCTATTTCTGCTCAGCCATCCGGGTTTGCCCCCAGGTTTGTTGGCATCAGCCTTGACTCCTCATCCTCACGCTCACCTACCCCACATAGCCAATGGTCACCTAAAATCATTGCTGCGAACATAGCTCTCTCTCTCTTGTCCTTCCCCTTCTCATCACTCACCAGGCTACCAGCCTCATCCAGGCCCTCATAACCTCTCACCTGGACTATGGCAATAGCCTCCTTCTCAGCCTCTCTGCCTCTCCAGTCTATAGTCCATACAACCACACAGGTGTGGCCAATGTAATTCCCCTACTCAATAAATTCCAATGACTCCCAATTACTACTGAGATAAAACATCAACTTTGCTGGTAGGAATTTAAATAACAACTGGGCCCCCAAAAACTTTTCCAGCCTTATTGCACTTTATGTGCATTCATTCATGTGCACTGTGCACCTGCCAAACTGACTTTCTTACTGTGCTCCATTTCTCAACTACGTGCCTTTGTCCTGGTTGTCCTGCATGCCTGGAATGTGCTCCTTTCTCATATCTACCTCGTAGACTCTAGTTTCCTTCAAGGCTCAGGGGAAATGCTCCCTTCTATATGAAGCCTTTCCTGTTTTCCTCAACAGCTTGGGTCCTCCGTCCCTCCTTCCCTCCCCAAACACCTAGCATTTATTTTGAATATGTCCTCTCTATACCTAATATGTCTATGTTGTCTCCCCAGGCTAAAATGTAAGCTTCTGGAGGGCAGGGACTGTTTCATTTCTTTCTTTGTAGCCTAAGGGCATTGCATAGTGCCTGGCATATAGTAAGGATTTCATAAATAAATGCTTGCTGGTATGTATTGAGTGAACTTATCCTATGTATTCATATTAGCTTGAAGGCAAAGACTGAATCGTTTTTTAAACTTTGTACCCCCAGAACTTAGCACCATGCCTTGCAAATAGAAATTGCTGGATAAATATTGGCTGGATTTGAAATTTAAATTTGAAGGCATAAATGTGTATCTGCATATGTCTTCTCCCCCACTAGACAGGAAGCCCAATGAGGTCATGTCTTCCCTAGCAGCCAGCACAAGACTTTTGTTAGATATTGAAAGAACATTCTTTGAATTGTTTAAATAAATTGAATTGAATGTGTTTTCAGAAGATTAATCTCACTTCCAGTATGTGGCTTGGATTGTAGAGGCTGTTTGCAACAGGATTACAAGAGCCCAGGCCAGGGGTGGGGAACCTGTGTCCTCAACTGTGACCGTTTGACCGATGGATTCAGTCAAAGGGCTGAACTTGAGGACCTAGAGGGCCACAGATAGCCTCGAGGCCACAGCTCGGGCTGACAAGGACCTGAGGACTTAATGGCCAGGGAGGGATAAGAATTAGATTCAACAAACACGTATCTGGGAACAGAAAGGAAGGGGTAAAAATGAGATGTACATTGACAATGTGAGGGGTGAGAGGAGAAAGAATCAAAATGGACTTCAATTCCACATATCTAGGTGGGGAAAATAAGCAAAGATGCCCACGAGGGTCAGTTACTCCAGTCCCTGAAGGTTATTCTTCTGAATGCATGTAGGGACCACTTAATAGATACCACAGTAGGGAGGAGGGAAGTGACCATGTGACCAGGCTGTGATTGGTCACTGTTTGCAGCCACTCTCCCCCACCTGGTATCACAGCTTAGAGTACTGGGGTGGGGTGAGGGGGGTAACTATAACCAGGATTTTTTTCTAGGGGGCATTTTGGGGGTCTTTTCCTGTTTAGATTTGTGGTCCCTATGTCCCTCCAAAGCTGACTGCCCTGCATCCGTGGTCACAGGGATCACTGTATGCGGTGGCCGGGGATGCCCTGACCCCCATGCAGGCAGCAAGGAGGCCTCCAGGAGCATCCTCTCCTGACTAGAGTCCAGAAGAGTCAGGAGCTGGGGCCTGTGGGGTGGGGACGTCTTCCCCAGATATTGGCAGCAATTGACGCAAGCCTTGAAGAGCATCCGGAAGGTGAAGAGCCAGCCCAGGTAATGCAACTCTGCCAAGTTCAGAAGAAAACAGCCAAGCCCCACCCCGAACATAAAATTCAGGAAGATCGTTTTCTCTGTCGCCCTGGAAACAAAGCAGTCTGTCTTGGTGGGACACGGGTAGGTTTCGCAGAGGTATAAATGGGGCACGTTAAACCCAAACAGGTAATATTGCCCCACTAGGAATCCCAGCTCCAGGAAGGTCCTCAGCACTACATGGGCTATGTAAATGATCAACACCCGGTTGGCCAGCTGGATGGGGTCCTGAGCTGTGGACCCGCCATGCTTTGGGAGGATCTCCTCCTCCTCCAGGCTCTGGCCCTCGAAGGAGGTGGAGGGCACCAGGACCCCAGAACCCGATTGCGGAAAGACCTGGCGAGAGGTTGCCTGTCTTTGCCACAGCTCCAGCAGGCGGTCCCTCTCCACATCCATCCGCTCCTCCAGGGCCACCTGGTGCATCACGCAGACGATGTAGAAGATGGAGGGCGTGGCCACCAGGACAATCTGGAAAATCCAGAAGCGGAGGTGAGATATGGGGGCGAAGCTGTTGTAGCAGACGTTGGTGCAGCCGGGCTGGAGGGTGTTACAGGTGAATTTGGACTGTTCATCCCCGTAGACTGCATCACCCACCAGCGTGACCAGGAGGATACGAAAGATGAGGAGGGCCGTGAGCCAGATCTTACCGACGACGGTGGAATGGTTCTGGACTTCGGTGAGAAGCCGGCCCAGGAATGACCAGTCGCCCATCTGTAAGCGCGGAAGGAATCACAGAATTCGTTTTCTTTTACATTTTAGTAATGCATTTGTTTTTTTGTTTGTTTGTTTGTTTTTTAACTCCATGGCTAGGTCCCAATATCTTCCCCCAACAGAACCTTTCCTTGTAACAGAGAAAACCAGTACCACCAACTGTGTTGGACAGTATATGTAGCATTCCATATCCAGTCCCCCACCTCTACCCAAAGGAGGGAAATAAAGGCATAAAATTTAGTGTTAAAAGGAAATTTAGAGGTCATAGGACCATAGATTTTTGAGTTGGAAGGGACCTTGGAGGACATCTAGTTAAATCCTTTAATTTTATTGAAGGTAGCTAGATAATGCAGATTTAGGAAGACCTGAGTTCAAATTTGACCTCGTACACTTACTAGCTGTGTGACCCTGGGCAAGTCTCTTTACCTCAGATTCCTCAACTATAAAATGGGGATAATAGCACCTACTTCCCAGAGTCATTATGAGAATCAAATGAGATATTTGTAAAGCATGTGGCACCCTGCTTGGCACACAGTAAGCATTCTATAAAGTCTTGTTTCTTTCCCCTTATGAAAAAGGACACGGGGGCCCATGGAGGCTCACTGGCTTGTCCAAGGTCTCACAGGGAGAAAGAAGGGTCGGGGTTTTCACTCATTGGAGAAATGAATACTTCCATGTCTCAAGTTTCTATGATTTTGTCTATTGCCAGCTCCTCCAGGGTGGAGACTGTCTTTTCCCCACCCCTTAACGCAGTGCCTGGCACACCATATTCCCTTAATAAATCTTTATTGACTGACTGATCGTGGTGTCTTAAGTACCTTAGCAGAGGTAGTTCATGAGTGGTTGTGGTCAAAATAATCCATCTCTGCAGCCAGCTGGGGATCCAGCCCCTCCCAGAGGCCTTTTGGGCTCATCCTCCAATAACAGACACACAGATGAAAAACACAAAGCCCCCGGCACCCAGACACTTGCCGAAGGATTTCCAAGCATCCTTGGCGGCCCCATCGGGCCGATGCTCGGCTGGATCCCTCCACAGACTGACGAGGACACTGAGAAGCAACTTCACCAAGGAAAGAAGAAAAAACTCTCCGAGGGAGCTGGAGGGAACTGAATTAACTGCAGTGACTTTCACTCTTGCTCCAGAATTAGGCTTCTGCCGCAGCGCTATTATTAAAACAGTTTTCTGTTCTCTCAGATTGCCCTGGGGCATTGGGTCCATCTCTTCCAAGGCGCCAGCCTGGTATTCCCTCGAGGGTGGAAAACTCACACTTCATTCCTTAGCAAGTCTTTCCATCAGGCTCAGGGGCAAGGGAAGATTTTAGAAGCCTGGGGAGGATGACTCCGACAGGCAGCTTTCCAACCTCCCTGCAAAACCTCCTATTTTTTGGAGTGGGGGAAGGTTGGAGGTGGGGGAGATGAGGCAAGACTGGATTTATTATTTCATTTGTGTAAGGAACTCTCAGGTGAGGAAGCTTCTACCAATGAAGCTCAGCACCTGATCTTTAAATTAGTTGCCTGGGGCACTGAGTGATTATTATTATTATTAATAGTTTGATTTATTAATAATAACAATAACTAGGGGGAGAGAGGAGAGAGAGGAAGAGGAGAGGGGGGAGGAGAGAGAAAGAAAGGGAGAGGGGGAAAGAGAGAGAAAGGGAGGGAGGTAGAGGGGAGAGAAAGAGAGACAGACAGACAGACAGACAGACAGACACTGTTTTAAGATTTCCAAAGTGCTTTACAAATATTATTTCCTTTGATAATAAAAGGTTAGATGACCTGCCCTGGTCTACCAGCCAGTGTGTGTCAAAGATAGTCCTTGACCTCAGGTTCTCCTGTCTCCGAGGGCGGCTCTCTATCCACTCTCCAAC